TAGTTATGTGAAGTTCTTTGAAGTATATATAAACACGCCCACATACACGAAGAGCTTTAAAATGTATAAGATATCAGAGTATTAGTTTGAGTGTTTGAACAGAAAACGTTTCTGGTGTTTGTTTAAACAGATATTCCAAAGTTTAAGGATTGAGAAATCGGCAAAGAGAAATTAATTTTAATTCAGAATAAGTTTTCTTGTTAATGAAATACGAATCCCGTATGTTAATAGAACGGGCGGAACAGAAGAGGAAATACTACATACGATTATCTATTATTATTGTCATCCGATTGAATAAAATATATTAATTTCGAATTCATATTCTTAATGCGGCGAACATGAAGATGGCCTGTTTCCACGTTTGTTACATTTGGTTGCTCGCTTAATAATTAGCGTTAAGATAGTTAGGTGAAGTCATTAAAAAAGCAACCAAACAGGCACTCAGATATAAAACCTGAACCCTGAAGATTAAATAACCCTTTCAAAGGTTAATTTCTGGGAATCTGATGGACTAGCTAATGACAGCTCCGATTACTATACCCAGTCAAATGCACGATGCATTCTGAATACATAAAATTAAAGTATTAGTTTTTTCAACGTAATATACAAACCATGTTAACAACGTACAAAACAATTTAATATGTAGCAGACATCTATATACCATCACGTACTTCATTATATGAATTTAAATTAAAATTAACAAATTAGCAATTCAATTAACATTAAATTTGTTTGGCGAAATTAAAACTTTCATTTGATTACCTGACGCAATACTGATAATGGAGAATATTATTTTAAATTTAAAAAGGGTTTCCAAGTGTTCAATATTTCATGTATTTTCAAACAGTAGATACAGTGACCGAGAAACGTAGGCACAATGACGAGATTAAGAATTTAAATTCCTCGCTACAAAAAATAAGTGGCAAACTGTTTTATTATATGTTTTAATCTCAACATTTATATAAAACACATGGGAGAAAAAACGCCACAATAATTTTAACAATTCGACATTAATTCTGGGCTAGACCCATATGTAACCTTACTGAAAATCGATTCATTTATCAGCAGTTCATTCGAAAGTCAAGTTCTGTCACAGTCAACAATAACAGAAAGTCAAACGAATTCTGATAAAAGACGCCAAACGCCGAAAGGCGGGTATCCGATTTCCACCATCAGGTAGAGGCTGTATAACAACCAGCCCACGCTTTATAAAATGCTCGAGGCTCCTACTAAAAAAACCCTGTGAAGCACGTAATTGGCAGGGACACGTCTGAACGCACGTCATGTGTGTTCCCACCCACTCAGATTTATTTTTGATCGAATAAATAGTGGAGAGGAAACTGATGAGACATATGGCGAATGAATTGGAAATTAAATGTGTCCTATCAGAACGGAGACTGGCGTGCGTTTAGTCCACATCACGAAAAATGCCTGCAAATAAATGCAAATATTAAAACACTAGACGTCGGTTCGTTGCATTTTAGGATGTCGACGGACTGGAGACAGAATACCGCAGTTCAGTGGCTATGGGAGATTCCAGAAATGTCGGTCCGGATACAGTCTGGCAAAATGGAAACACGGCCCTACGTATGAATGATATTATTAAGATAAATCGGCAAAAACATCACGAAAAAAGTAAGAATACACAGCACACACCAAAAGCAACAAAGAAATATGGCGAAGCCTCGGGTTTGGGGCAGGAGGAACACAGAAATAAAGACTTGGGCAGCGCAGATGGGATCCACACAATCTCACTAGGCTTCACAAGGCCCGTGTCCCACAAACGTATTCTTTGCGATTCTGCACAAATCGTGTAACTTAATGTTAATCTGTGGCAAATACAAATTCATTACTGCAAAGTGCGATGACCACACTACATGTAGCAACAGATTCCTTAGTCGGGAAGCCGCAGATTATTTCGTTACACGTACACCGCACCGAGAAATGTTTAAGGAACTTGTCAGACATCTTAATATCATATCCTGCAAAAATAATTCGCGCACTGAAAACTTTTAGAGGAATTTCATTTTAGTTTAGCGTAAAGCGGGAGGAGTTGTCAAGTTCAAACCAAAACGAAATTCGCAAGAAAATCAATACAAAGTTTCATCAATAATGACGCAGGAGGTAACTTGAACTGGTTGGTGAAGCATAATGATGCGCAGATTTACCGCAACCTAGAAGTTGTTTGAATCTTCTAGAAATCTAGTTTTGTGCGTGAGGTTGGACTTGGTCCCTCCCGTTCTTCAGGCGCGTTCAATTTCTCTTTCACCGGAGCCACTGTTGAAGTTCTGTGATAACAGAAAGAAGCTTGGAATTCCTCCCTCAATCTGTTTTTGTGGTGTTCATACATTGGCGTAGCGAACACTTTCACCATTTCACGGAGAGTTAGAACTTCGAATACGCCTTACTTGTATAAAACGTACAAATTATTTCTATTACAAGAATAGAAGATTTATTCGTTTATAATATGTCTGTCTGTCTAGCTGCTAATGAACTCAGAAGACCCGGATGATCACAGACAAATCTGACCTCGAAAAATTAAATTAGTAAAGGGTTCTGACCCGATGTACTAGCATTTTTATTACTAGCCTATTAAACAAACTGCCCGCATTCAACTTTCTCAGGAGTGCGGTTCATCAGCAAGATTATTTGAACACCACCACGGAACTCTCAAGACAATAACATATGTTGAGTTTAAAAAAAACAACAACAACACAGCATTTTGTGAAAGCAGATGGTTCATTAATGTAAAAGTAACAGCCAGCCAGCGAATCCTCTCTTAAGCCAGATTAATCCAGATGAAAACCTCACATCATACCTTTTACAATCTTCATTAATAACTCTTAATTTTACTCACACAACAAATTTTTTATGATTCTCAGAGTAAATAATCATTACTTTTACTAAACAGCATTAATCAACTCATCTTTATCATGAAGACGGGATGTTGTTTCTTTGAGGCAGGAACTGAATGTTTAAAAAGAGCTTCGGCTTCAAAGAAAATAGAAAAATAAAGAAAAACGCCCACATTCCGAATTTCTTCATCTTTAGGTTCCACAAAAATAATTTTTGGCACACTTCCCATCCCTTCCATTTGATTCCACTTTCTCCTGTCTTGGCTATAAAACACATATCGATAACATTTAGTCATTAAAAAAATATGAAAAGGCGAAAGACAATGACTTTATTAAGTCAATTCTTCTCATTTATTAAAATATTCTTTGTGAGAATTGTTTTATTTTTCCGGAAATAAAGGCAGGAAGGGTGGCATGGATATTAACATTTTCATAAAAATACGAAGAGTAAACTGTGTATTTGTTTTCAATAAAGCGCGATAAATCTATTATATTAGATCCTCAGGGTTTCATAGCATAGTGTATTGTTTCATGTGAAATAGTGTAATGCTTTACACAGTCAGGGCATAAACAAATGCGCTCTGAAAAGCACACCACATCGTAGCTCGTACACTGATGTGAACTACCATGGACGATGAACGCATTCGTAAGTTCAGTGACGTCACACCACTGTCAGAGAAACCAAAAGTGCGGACCCCGCCACGAAAAGAACGCCTAACGACGCCACAAGAATTAGAATGAAGCAAAGACGAGAGTCGGCATGGCATACGATACTTCGCATTCAGCCGCCATCGGCGTCGAGACGCTTATCGTCCCGACACCGATGTAAGATTCAGAATAAAGCGAAGTCCAGACTCGGGACGCCATACGGCAGAACGGCTTAAAACCGACGCAACACGAAGACGTACCACTTGGAGCAGTGAGACACGACGATTTCAAGTCGACGCTGGGCATCGGGGTCCTGACAAAGTTCTATATATATAGTGAAGACACGATTCGGGACGACATTCACGACGCTGGAAACTTGGATCTCAGTCTTTCAAGGCAGCTGATTTGCAACATTTCGTTTTTGCGAGGTAACCTAACCAACCTAACCCATACTTACACAACCGGAAATAACCACTTGCTCTATTTATCCTCTTCTCGGGTTCAAAGGGTTGAAGAAAATCAGGCATGGAAATTCTGTGCCATTTTGACAGAAAAATGGTTCACTGAACATGATTTGTATCAGCTCAGTCATATTGATTTATTCTGAATCCATTTACTGACAAGGAAATATAATGGATGTGACACGCAGCGGTCTGCCTTCACTTGTTCAACACTTGATACCCACTGCCACGGGAAGCCAATGACTGTGATAAAATGTATTGTCACATTAGACCCAGAATTAAGGAACGCGGTAAAACTTCTTAATCGCTTCTGCCGTTTTATTGCGTGGTTAATGACTGTGGATGGATGACTGTGTCCCGCGATTACGTAGGAAGCTGATGAAAGCATTGGCAATAAATCAGATAAATCCACTTATGAAAGGCGTAGGTAATAAACCATGTCAATCCAACACTTGTTGTCAGCATGTCATATATATACATATATATAAGATTCACGATCATTACTCGGATGTATCCAATGAAATATCAACGGCAGAATCACGAACGCATCTACTAGTCACAATCCCGCATGAACTCTACGCGAGAAATATTGCGTCTAGTGGGCAGAATTTATCCGTCACAACGCGATTTTATCCTACACATTAAGTAGTTTCCTACAGGGTTTTCCGTTTCTCCGCCAATGGTATTGTGGGTAGGCACCCGGCTTTAAAGTGCAAAAGCGATCTATGACCACCTTCGTAGAAAAGGTTTATTAATGAGTCAAATGATCACTCGCGTGTCATCCTAATATACCACCAACTTCTTCTCACACTGACAAATATTTAGAACAAGAGGAAGAACACTCAGTTACACACGTGTGGAGAAGCATCTGAAAAGGGAAAATGCATATGCCGAAAGGGTGGTTGTGTCACGTGCAATCAGTCGCAAAACAGGCATTCATGGACTCCGGTCACAAGATTCAGAACAATAAAGAAAGTTAATTTGTTTTCATACAGTATACAACTAAATTCTAATAGGTCTGCGTTTCTCTACTCACGTGTGGTGAAGGAATGATCCCACCAGTCTGTGCGGCAAAGAAACGCTTTCAGATCGTCAGCTGTTCTCCCCACGATCACAAGCGGTGGCGCTACAAGCGTTCGTATCACCAGGAACACGCTGAAAATGGTGACGATCACTCCAAGTCTCTTCAGAAGGTCCAGATCTGTGATTTTCACAGCTTTGGCTGACCTCACTCGGAAAATCACGGAAATCCTTCGTGAAAAAAAACCACGTTTACGTTAAGACGATGAAAATATTCTCTATGCAAAGTGTTTGTCCATCTGCATATTTAACTAAACATTTTCTCACAAGATTTCTATTAAATGTATTACAGCAAAAAAATATTTGTATACATTTGTCTAATGCAGCCCCTGTGTCCCATTCATCCCAAATAAAATTTCACATAATTTCTCAGCTCATTTTTAAGAATTACCCGCGTATAATAAAATGCAGACTTCATTAAGTTCTACTGCCTTTATCTGAAATAAATTTTATGTATTAACTAACAAAAGAAAGTAAAATATAATAAATCTAAAGTCGATAACAACACATACACAAACAAAACAACCTTTTACTGTAAGTGCACGCCACCAGAAACTTTCTCCAAGCCCCTGACAGCTTTCTGCCAGGTGCCAGCATATTTTATGACGCAGATACAAACGCAGCAAACAGGCGTCTTGCGTGGAAACACCATTTTAATACCGCACGTAAGGGCGAGTTTTCCATACAATTATAAAATATGAAGCACGTAGCAAAACCGGGGTAGGCAATGCAAGATTGTCGAGTGTTTGTGAAAATTTTGGAACACAGACTGCATATACGTCAACACTCGCCCGTGGCAAATTTGGCTGCTCGATACAGATTTTCCCTTCAAGTTCTTACCTCCATGTCTTCAGCATAAGGGCTCCGTAGGTGAGCGAGAAACCAATTTCTCTCAGCCAGACACGAACTGTGCACGTGTAGATGTTGGGTCGCGGGTACATTACTATCACCTGCAAACCATAACGCACGAATTATTGATTACGCTCCGACACACCGCAAAACGAAGTACAGAAACATACTAAACAAGAGGTAAAATTATAGGTAAGATTAGGGCTCTCACAGAGGAGTATAAAGAATACTTCTGGGACGCTGAGACGCGAAGTCTGGTAGAAGTTTGCCGACGTTTCAGGGGTGCCTACTGCGTCCGTCATCAGGGCGATGATGGAGAGAGGAAGCACCTCTAAATAGTCGGCAAACTTCTACTAGAGTACACGGTGCAAAATCTCAGAAGACAGTCATCTTTCGGTAAAATTATAATTTCGTATATTTTAATCAAAGTTTTTTAAGACAGCAGCCGGGAAGACAAAGATTCTGAACGGTGTGGTAGCAAGTGTTCCCCGAAAAGATGTCCTGGCGAACACGTCGCAAAACAAAGAAGCTTTCTGCACACTTGCATTGATAAGAAATTCAGACGATGGATGATACGTCGTGATATAATATGAATTCAAGTTTCCCAACCGACCTACCTGGTAGGATGATGCTACGAGCAAAGAAAGAACAAAGTATCCAAACGGCTGGATCTGACACTGGAAGTAACGATCCTTCAAACTGTATTCATGTACCCAATTTTTCAACCAACAATTTTTAAAAAGCTCATCTGACTTCCCAGGGCAAATGCTGTTTCTTTCGTCGCGTTTCGCATTTACTGCTAAATTGTCAAGTGGGGGACGCCATGTCTTAGAAGACACAATGGACCATGCAGTCGGGGATCGATGATTCCTTTCAAGAGCCTTGTGTACGTACAAAGACACCCAATGAGGTAACCCAGCGTACAAAGGCACAGAAGAAATGCAATGGGACCCGCGGTTAATCCTGCAATAAACAGACATCGAAGTCCCCTCTAAATAGTCGGCAAACTTCTACTAAAGAACACGGTGCAAAATCTCAGAAGACAGTCATCTTTCGGTAAAATTATAATTTCGTATATTTTAATCAAAGTTTTAAGACTGCAGGCGGAAAGTGCAAGTGTTCCCCGAAAAGGTGTCCTGGCGAACACGTCGCAAAACAAAGAAGCTTTCAGCACACTTGCAGGCGATGGATGATACGTCGTGATATAATGTGAATTCAAGTTTCCCAACTGACCTTCATGGTAGGATAATGCTACAAGCAAAGAAAGAACAAAGTATCCAAACGGCTGGATCTGACACTGGAAGTAATAATCCTTCAAACTGTATTCATGTACCCAATTATTCAACCAACAATATTTAAAAAGATCATCTGACTTCCCGGGGCAAATACTCTTTCTTTCGTCGCGTCTCGCATTTACTGCTAAAATCTGATTTTGTGGCTGTCAGTAGAAATCGAGAGAGAAATACGTCGTATAATGTTTTGATGCTAATTTCCTCCGTTTGTGGTCAAATTCAAGGTCCTTGAAATTGATTAATGTGTACTGTTTCGTAATTGAAATTCATGTCTACAGAATATTCTGAAAATGAATGTAGCATGTAAACAATAACCTGTCATAAAATTAATTAAGCTACGCATAAGGAATGGCACAAAGTTGGCGGTAACGTGACACGAAAAGACATTTCAGGCTGAGGAAACGCGTTGTATTGTTCTATAAACTCTAAAGCACAGGGTTTGCCGTACGTGCTGACTACTAAAAAAATCGTACTAATGGGAATCCAAGTTTGATTAGCTTCGAAGATGAAATATGCGAACACCCAAAAACACAGCCGGTTTCTGCATTGTAATTTCATTTCGTGTAATTTTTGTTGAGAATGCACAAGAATTCAGTTCCTATCGCAAACAAAACGCAAAGGGAGAGATCATTACAAAGTTCACTCGGTTAATGATGCCTAGTAAACCAATCCGTTCTTCTCTGAATGTCTTTGGTGATCATATTACTATTTTCTTGTTGTAAGCTTTATCCATCATGGGTCTTTAAAGCCTTAACAAATCTCAAATTAAAGAATCGCTTCGTCTTCAGATAAAAAGGGGGCAGATACCTATTCTGTTGGATCCGGCAGACCGAGCTACTTCCACCGTTAATGCCTTTAAAAAATGAGGATTGATAAAACCTAAAACAAACAACGCAGTAAATGAATCCGCGTTTATTCTGGGAGAGAATTCAGTCCCACGAATACTCTGTGGGTGAAATGCATCGCTACCGAACGTCAAGAGAAGTGGCATGCTTGCACACACGCAGTTTCCCTTGCCCTAAAAAAGTTAAGTCTAGCCTATGCATTGCAAGTTCAGTGGCGATATTAAACTGAAACAGTCCTGTGGCGAACCCTCACATGAAGGTGCAAAGGAAACGTTTAATTTCTGCTCACAATATTCTACACCTCCGACATCAGATTGGGGTGGACGGTCAGGTTAGCAGTTACTTTACTTCGAACTTTCTTCGTCCCACGTTATTTCCTTTTTTCTTTCTAATTTCTTTGCTTCCGTGAATCTCTCTAATTCTTTCCAGTCCTTACTAAATTTAAGAAAGTTTTGACGAGTCTGAAATTTGTTGATCAGCACTTTCGAGGCGATGTTGAAACAACGCGACACCTGATTCTCCGAAAGAGGACCGCCCTGTCGGTGGGAGTTGAGCTAACGGCGTTGATAAGAGACAAGAGAAACACAACTTCTTCTATCCTGTGGTTTACAGTCGGCAGGGAGGCAGACAGTAGAGTTATCTGAAGCCGCCGACCGTCGTCGTCTGTAAGCTTCACAGGTATTCTCTGGTCCGATCCACTGCGAGACACCGCCTAATCTAAACGAGGGGTTATCAACCCGCTGCCTGCGTACATTTCGTGCAATGTCTGACAATGGTAGAAACGAAATTTAGAACAATATTTATTTTTAGTTTGTCTCAGTTCCTGAAACCGAAACGCACTCTCGAAGCCCAATGGTAACTATATGCACCACCTATTTAACAATCAATAGCTGCATGTCGTGATTACAGGTTTCCATTACGTGCAGTGTGCATTAGGAATAATCAATCGTATGGGTTTTGCTTCGTGATCACATGGTTTATGACACGTGCCGTAGTTCCGTGTTAAGAGACGCAGCGAAATTGAATGTCCGATGCATGTTCATGGGCAACAGACATTAGGGTTATTATACTCCCGAAACAGGACCCGGTTATTTACATTGCGTTACAACTGTGGAGTAATTGGACGCAATAAACACATACAAGCACTCAACAAACCAATACAACTCAATATGAATAATTACACAATTCTCAGAAACAAACATCGAAAGAAGGAAAGGAAAAGGACAGTGAAAGGTAAAAAGGGAGTAAACATAAAAACAGAAATGAGAGAACTGAAAAGAATGAAATACAATGAAACATGACATAAGACAAGAAATGGCTTAAAAGAGCACAGAAGGAGTCGTGATCAATCGCAAAATTTTTGAAGGCAACCGATAGAGCCAACATTTCTTACACGCGGTGACAGTGACTGAATAATTTTTAAAATTCCATTCTATCTGCATTTTGTAAGAAAGACATCCATTCTATACTACCACCGAAAGCATTTATAAGCTCTTCTGCTATCTGGGACATGATCTCGCACTGAAAGCCAGCACCTGCAAGCGACAGTTTCAAAAGTCCTACTTTATTCAGGTATGGTGGACTGAACGGCGAGACGCACTCCTCGAGAGAGGGCATATAGGCATTTGAGACACGAGGATCTGACCGATGCTGCTTCAAAAAATTTTATCTTCGCGCAAATAATTTATGGCTATTAGGACCAGTAACTTATTTCAGCACAGAGATTGCACATGAGCTGGAGGTTTTCACTCCTATGAAAATGTGGACTGTCTCTTCTGGAGAGTAATGTCGTGTAATCCTGTTAATAGTTACCAACGTTTCGGAGGAATGAATTGGCTCCATTTTCAGGGAGGGCAAAAGTTACTTTGATACGTTACCATCTACCTACACGTCTGCACAGCGTCGCAACACAGACAAAGAAATCCGCGTACTTTTCACATAAGCAAGTAAGTGTCACCAACAAACAAGTAACACATTATTTGGAAACTGTGTCGCTTCTAAAACTTTTCTTATATCTATGTCTGTCTTAATAACAGACTTATTCTGAAGTAAACAGTTTCAGTCGCAAAATATTTCAGGTAAGTAGTTTCATACCTATCTTAGTACGCAGATGTGAACTTTACAAGGAAAACACAGGCAGAAAATCTTCAGTTCCTCTTATTGTTTTGACGTGCCAACTGAGAACGAATTCCCTGGAGTTTTCGCTTACACACTAACCAGATAATGAGGTCACAGACTCTTGACTAGAAACTGAAGCCAGGGGGACAAATTTCAGTTTTGTGTATCAGAAGAGAACACAAATGGAGATGCAGTTATTTACATAAAACTCGTTTCATCAGCTCACTCGATGGAGTTTTTGCTGTTCACAGTGTTCTATCGGTAATGTCACTTGATGGTTCCTTATCGTCATAATACAAGTTTGTCCCTGCACTCAGACGAAGTTAAATCGAGTTCACACCGTAAACACCCCCTCAACGTACATTTTACTTCTCAACACAAGAAAAAGGAAATAACATTTGCAGCCATGTTTACAATACACAACACACAAGTTAGAGACACCGGCGCAGCAGTTATACGTGTAAAACATCACACATGTATACAAAATAAACAGAAAACAGGAACAAAGAAAGGAGCAGAGAGATGAAACAGAGACAGAGAGAAACACACAAGAAGCAAAACGAATACACGGATCGTATAGTTCAAAAACCTGATGAAATTTCAGTTTCTCACGGCGACGAGCATGAAGATGGCTCTGTCTTCTGGGATGTGGGGGCGGTGGCAGTTTCAGAGGAGCTCACTGCCTCCTTCAGTAAGCTCGTCTGAAACGTCGGCTAATATATACAGTAATACACGGCGCAAAATCCGAGAACACAGCCGTATTCAGAAACCCTGTTTAGCAGGGCAGTGTATTGTGTTTTGTTGCGTACCGCGCAAGAGACATAAAAAATGGGTAACAAATTTTGTTCTGAAAACGTGGAGAGACAAAAGACAGTGTCCAGGATACAGACCGGTGCCAAAGGGGCTCAATTTTCGCCACTGAAGTGCCCAAACGCGCTAACAAAGTCTTAAAAATCAAATAAAATAGCCAGTGTATTACAGAATTAGTAGGCCGGGTGAACTTTTAAATTTCAAAAGTTAGACTAAAGACGCTTAAAATACGTCTCCATGTCATTTTAACGTTCCTTCAGTTGTCTTCAGTCAAATTTAGGGCATTCGTGCCCTGACAACTGTGTTATTCATCTTCCACATCGCATCTCCCCAAAATTATAAGCGTTAATATTTTAATTTTTGTTGAGCAGCATAGCAGGGCCATATTATAAACTTTTTCAGTTGCAGAAATAAAATATTTAAAGGCTTTAACAACGGGACAGAAGAGGTTCGCATGAGATTAGTTTGTAATTCTTTGTTGGCAGAGACAAACTGCTCTTCTTTGAGTCTTTGTTCTTTGGCCTCTCTTCCTGAGGCAAATTTAATTTTAACATTCACAATTTCCGGATCCTCTTAAGTTATTTTTTTACGCAATTCCTCTCGTCTTTGTACAAACATAAAGCAACGATATCATGCGACACAAGGCGAGACAGCAGAAAATGCACAAACATAATGCAGTGAGACATCCATATTAAGAAACAAGGTCAAAAGCAGGGCATCCTCTGAAAAGAACGAACACGAACATAGCTCTTTCATTTAATTTATATTTAAGAGAACGGTCTGTCCGGAAGAAAAAACTGACATGATATCTACAGACATGAAAATGAAGAGAGTAAATTTATCCGAAACGTCGGTATCTGCCTACGAGTCTATAAAGCGTCAAACCCCAGAACACCGTCACCTTCACCGCCCTGAGAACCTCAAATCTCACACGAAAGAAAGTTACACAGCCAACAAATCAGTCACATAATGGAGGAAACCTACGGATGACATTTCCAGGTCCTCACGGCGACAGACATTAAGACGGCTGTAACCCTATAGATTGGTAGTTATTGATCGATGTTACAAAGATGCTAACTGCATCCACCAGCGTGATGAAATCATGGAGGCAGTAAGAATCTCTGAAACGTCGGCCAGTGTCCACCAGACTGCATGGTGGTACATTCCACAAGACAGCCATATTCAGGAAATTACAGTTTGGGACAGATTTTTTTATTATATCCGCCGTCATACGCTAAAGAGTTCTGAGCCTTCTAAAACCATTTAAATATCTCCTCTTTGAAATACAAATTAAAAGCATGCAAACAAACAGCAAAGGCCTACGGATTTTGGATATATATATAGTGAGCATGAGACGAGGATAAACAAATATTTATTCAGAATTTAAAAAATCAGCAGATGGTGAGAAAACTGTGAGGGGGGGAAGGGCACTTGTGAGACAAGAGAAAATTAATACTAGAGAAACAGAGTGTGAAGACTCCAGCTGGTCTGGTAACTTTAAACACGGCTCTGAGCCTACATGTTTCGTAAGAACTGAAACCTTCTTGACAAACTTAGTTAACTACGACGGCTTTAGACTGATCTGCAGAATGGAGTTACTTCATTACTTCCACTTTGACGCTAACTTCTCAAGCCGTCTTTGGATAAGTTCAGATGCTTTGAAGAACTCCAGTGCCCTGGTCGTAAAGAGAAGGTATCTTACTGCTGAAGATAAACAGATACTGTAAGATGTGCTCTTGGCATGAGAACGGGCGAAGAGAATTTACTGCGCGGTGAGTACAGCGGCTTCCTGAAGTTACTCCCACGAATTAGCTCGAAGCGCAATGTTTGCACATTTTATTTGACGAGAAGCAAACGGGTGATATGTCAGCATTCAGCCATCTATCTTTGTAATGGCAAGATAGTTTTCGTTACGTCACGGACTACATTCCTAAATATTGTTCACACGAGAGTCTGCTGGAATTAATGTAACCCTGGCTTCAGTCTACTCACCGTGCAGTAGATAAAGAAGGCTCCCAGTGTAATGACTCTCAGCAGGACGGGACTAGCTGCTCTCACCACCTGAAACAAGAGAACAAAGTTGTTTTGTTAATTTTTTCCCCGATCAACCAATAGTAGCCGAACGCTACGGTGTGGATGACTGGTTACTTTCTCCTGGCAGGGGATGGGACGTTTAAGTTCGTCATGGCGTCCAGATCGGGTCTGAAACAGACCCAGACTGCAATCCAGCGGATACAGTGTGATGCTGATAACTAATTTTAATCCACACTGCCGATGTCGAGAATTCGTGGCGCTACGCCTCCATTTTACAATCGCATAAAGCTTACTTGATCATGGAGAGACCTTTGCCTTATCATCACCACGATCGTGGCAGTCTTAAGGTATGTAACAGCGGTCCATTAATCACACACTATTTGTGTTAGCAAACAGATCTTCTTTTTATTTATTCCAGGGTTATCTGACAATGCTATTCAGCTGCGGAGGTTATATGATATAGAATATGAATTACAAATAATTATGGTCTGCATGGAGAGTCATAACCCATTTATTGACGATGTCTCAGCACCTTCCTAGAGACAGGACCAAAATCTCAGGCAGTATGACGGCAGCGCTGCTGATAGTAGAGCCGGAAAAAAGAAATTCTGGAAAGTATACTGGTCGGTAGTGCAGAAAGTTATACGAAACGGTGGTGATTCTTACCATTCGACAAATTCATGTCATTTTGTCAGGTACTTTACGGAGTAGCGCTAAACGCTAATTGTGTAACGGAGCGTGCAGTTATAATTTATCAGATGACAATGGAGCAGTAGTTGCGCTGAAATCTAAATGCGCACAAACATATATTAATACTAGAACATCACGCCTGCTGGTATAATGAAGTTAATTACGTATCCATTGTTCCTGTAAGCTGTTCCGGAGAGATGTTAATACTGTATTTCATAAAACTGGCTGTTTCGAAACAGGAGTTGCTGTTACGACAAACAATCAATCAAGCCACTTTCACGAAACAGGATGTAGTCCAAAATTTTTGCATGTCTTCTGTGTGACCCCTGAAAATAGGAGCATCGATTTATTTCTATTAAACTCGGTAGGAAGGCAGGATCGTGGCCGGTGGCGGACTTCGGTGTTGAACCTGCAGGTTCTGCTGCCAAGGCGTTGGTTGGTTCTAGGAAGGCAAGACATCAAAGTCTGTTTCGTTCCTTAAATTTATCACATCGATTTAACATTTCAGACCTCGAAGTACGTGGGTCAGGACACCGATGACTCGAGAAACGCAGTCTCCGGCCCAAGATCCCAAACACGAAGCACCAGAACAAACCACTACATTCTGACGCCCCTTCATAATATATACGCATCCTAGAATTCTCACAGCCACCGAGGAATTCCATTATTGGTTCAGCGTAAAGTGAAACATTACGCCACATCAACCAGAAATCGAACCTGGTTCGTCTCTTCTCCGTGCCAGTTTTATGGATACCGCCACTGCGCACGACAGTAACAGATTCAATAAAGAGTACGAAAAAAAAATCCATCGCACAGATATACATATACATCTGTCAGCGGCAGACAGACAGAAACTGCGTCACGCAAACAGCTCGTCGAAAACGCACTTGAGGGAAAATATAAAATTCAATTGCTTGGCTATCCAACTCTCTGGATCAAACACAAAGCCCCTAGTGAGGACGGAGGTTTCGATACCGTGCTGGCTGCTCGGGCCTGTCGCACAGCTTGGAGACTGTCGTAGACTAAAACAGAACACGAGTGAATTGATACCTGGCTTCGGAAAGCGGAAATTAAAGTAGAGGAAGAAACCTGTCGCAATGCCAACTTGTCTGAAAGAAAACCTGCAAGCAAATCCCGAAGACTCGACCCAGGTTTCTGATGTGGGAAACCGTAGTTTCGTTGCCAAGTTACCACTGCAAACACGAAAACATTTGAAGGGACTAGAAATAATTATTGTAATCACTCCGTGAAACAATTCAAAAGATAGTAACTAAATAAACGTATATTTAACTGTCATTCTCTGTTGTAAATGCATTTTACTGCATTAACACACACAATAACAAATAATGCGGACGACTCATTAATTCTGAATTACGCATCTGTTTGCAATAATAGTTTGTGTTTGTAACACCGAAATATGTAAACATACAGTTCAATACAATTCAAAATAATATAGGCCTACACATATTACAAGATTATATATATACATCAACCACATGGGATTATTTTATGATTTCCTGGTACGTAATGAATTTGAACAGCGGAGGTTCCCAAGAAGGTATTTGTTCAAATAAATTATTTAGTACGCAATAAACCTAGACAATTACAAGGCATCTGTGACGAGAATACGGAGAAAAATTCTGACAGAGCGGCTCAAATGGCGAATTTTATGGTGGTGGTGGTGGTGATACACATAACAAGGGATGTGCTGAACTCAGCTAAATGGAATAGAGGGATCAGATTCATGCTGTAAAATAGACGATTCCTTTCTGACTGGCTTCGAAGGTCACCCAACTTCCTATCCAAAGTGCAATGGGATATCTCCCCACGGGGGTAAATACAGCGAAGCGTGAAACTCGCATTCACCATCAAACATATGTTAAAAATGCCTGGAGCTTGTCTTGAGCCATAAGACAGACAACTATGGCCATAGCAAGTTTTTTATTCATTGCGTAAAAATTATTAAAGTTACACAGATGTAATTCCATATTTCTCTTAATGTCCTACATGAAGAAAAATGCTAATGCTAATGTCCATATTACGTATTCGACAAATACAATACCGCTTCTTGATTCTATAGGCAACTGATGCTAAGTTCGTCAGTGACAAGACTATGTCTATTACATGCCTGGGACTGAATGTCAAATAACGTTATCAATAATATCTTAAAATATAATCACATTTATGCAAAACACTGCATTTCTATGTTGTACTTGTTCGATCAGTACGTTCTCTGTTCTACGTTACCAAGCCAACCAAACGAAGAATCTACGTACATAGGTAAGAATGCAATATCACTGACCAGTTAAAATGAAAAACCTTGACAGAACACACCAAGAAGTTGGTTGCAAACGCACTGAACTGCTCTGTACTTGCTGTCAGATTCATACAGTTCACGAACCTTCGGATCCCATAACAAAAAATATCCCTTTAACAGATCAGCATAAACGACTCAAAGACGAGAAGAAAATGCGCCGAGGAACCAGGAGAAAAGTCTTAATTTAAACTGCATAAACTTTCAGGCAATAAAAAAGTTTCAGTCTGCAAAGTACAGAAAAATGTAAAGACCTGGTATGGACACGGTTATAGTCCCCCCACCCCACCCCCTGTTAACGATAAAACAATTTTCATTACCATCTGACTCAGTAAATCAAATATGGACCTAGGCATATGAAGCACAACCTGCGAGAAAAGTTTTAAAAGAAATTTGCTTAATTACATTGGCTTTAACTTCTACAGAAGCTTACAAGGTGGATCATTTTAGAGGCAATACCTTAATTCGTATGCATAGTATAACTCCAAAGCAAAATAACTTTGCAGGGAACACCGGTTACAAATTACTTTCTATGAAATTGAACTTGTAGCCCTGAAATTAAAGTGAAAATCTTTTAGCTGATGAGATAATACGCGATTTTTATGGTGGTGGAAATGTCGAGTGTCGTCTTCTGGGCTATGGAACTGAGTGTTGTAACGCGTTTATACATTTTTAAATGACTAGAAAATGCTTTTGGCTGATATCTCTCCACTAATATTGATCTACAACCTTGACCTTACACTCATCAGTTAAGTGCGCTCTACTCATCACCCAAAACAAAAAGAAAGAAAGAAAGAAAGAAAGAAAGAGTAACAGAAAGCAAGGCCAGTATAAGGAACGGAAGGACGAATCATTGCTAAAAGTTATGATTGATCGTTGCGCCACGTATTCTCTAATGGCGAACGTGGGAACTTAGCTTCAGAATACAAAAGAACTTCAACTGCTGGTATTGATACGGTATAATTCGATTTATACATAAGATAAATACAGATCCGATCAAAATATCCTCAACTTCCTGTTTACCGAAGAAGGCAAGTAGAATTAATGAAAGAAAGAAAGCATAAGTGATAGTTAAACATCCATTAGAATATGTTTGTATAACGTCTCGCAATAATCAGCAAACGTTACGATGTATCAACTAGCGCGGATAGCAAACCTAACCTAATTCTATCGCGCGTAATGAACGTCTTGCCAGACGTTTGAACCGTGAAGAAATCCAAAACAGATTAAGTCCGCCCGAAACTAGGGCTAGCTTTTTCGAAACTTCTTATTAATTTTTAATGTAAGGCGTCAGATCGATTGTTTTTCCATCTAAGGAAAGCGATAATATAATAAAACCCTAGTTTCAAATCTATCCTCTTGTATATTACTTTCTCCTCTCCACATTTGAACAGCGTTTTAATCTCGAGAGAATGTATTTATATCTTCCTCTTGTTCTGCGCTTCTTTCTCAACCTAGCCTGCTTTTTCCTTTCTGTTTCTTCATTTGGTTGAATCTTCCATCAGCATTTCAAACGTATTTAATCTCCAGAGCCTGTAACGTCTTTGTGAATTCGGTTGGTATGCGCGAGATGTTACATCGCGTTCCTTTGAAAAAAATTTCTAGACCTGGGAACTTGACGTGTAGCATCACAAGGTCCCACTGCTTTGCGTACCGTCGCTGTCGGTCATTGTCCTTTCGACTGATATATGATGATGATGGATCATTACATCTTCACTTTGATTACCATAATTTAAATATGTGAACTTAAGAAAGACTAAATAACAAGACGATAAAATTACATAACCTGAAGATCGAAAAATTGTATTCTTCACAAGTTATCACTAGGGTCATAAAAATTGGAATGAACTGAGTGGGGCATAAGAAAACTTAAGGATGATTTGGAATATATAAGATCATGTCACAAAATAACACCAAAATGAATCGTATAAAAATACAATACAATAGACGGGCTCTTGCGAACAATAAAATTAAACTTCGGGTTTCATAAAAGGAGGAAATTTGTTGGCTTGCGAGAGACTAG